GTCCATCCCATACCACCTCAGCTGGTTTGTTCTTGGAAAACAAAACTTCAAAACATTTCCCAGCCATAGACTTGCCCTGTGGTACTCCTGAACAGAAGAACTACAACTGAAAACAAGACACAAACTTTTCACACATACGTAAAGATTTAGCAATAAATTCATTTCCACTGTTGAATTATAAATGACCATCTGGGAAGGGCGTTCTAAGAAGTGAGGGATGAGGAGGAAAAGAAAGAGGAGGGGAAAGAGGAGAGGGAGGAGGAAATCAAGGCAGATGCTTGTAATGAGGAAACACTTGTGCGCTTTGCCTCAACCCATAAACTGTCGGAGGCGATGAGAGAGCGAGAGCAGACGGACAGAAAGAAGGTGAGAACACATGGAAGGAGAGAGGAGACCGCTGCCCTGAAATGTTGGGAAACATTTTACTCAATGGGGAAAAAGATATTTACATTTAGAAAAAGGAGACTAACACAAAGGCCAAATATGTCAAAAATAACAAAAAAGGTCAAAAGAAAAACATTTAAACTGAAAAGACTGCTGACAAGCGATGAACAGAATGTAGGACGCTGAAAGAAAGAGAAGCAGCGAGGGGAGGACAGGAGGCCGGCAGATTAACATTTATTCAGTGTGCTGAGGGGATTTCAGACGTGGCACGGAGCGTTCGTGTTTGGCAGATGGCCGGAGGACGAGTGTGTTAGCACTTCAGCTCAAATCAGCCTTTCCAAACTGTTCCAAAGAGAGACGGGAAGAGGTGGGGAAGAACTGCAGAAGTGTGTGTGAGGAGGGAAATAACCTCCAGGGATGCAGCAGTCATCCCGACCGCCTCCGAACAACTGGGAGGAGGGTGCAAGAAGGATGTTGGTTGAAATCTCACAAAGCCAGGCCAAACATTCAGGTGATTTCGTGGCGATGTGCTTGGGGCTCAGGGAGTATTTGCTCGGGTTAGAGGCGCAGTGATGAGATGCAGACCAAGTTTACTTTAGACACAACAAGATCCCACGGTAAGGAACAAACATAGATGGCTCCTTATCTGTGAGATTTTATAGAAACGCTGCTTGCTGTTCCTTCGTTACAATGATTTTTTTTTTCTTTTGTTTTAATGTTGTTCAACATTTTTCAAAATAAAATGAAGCCTGTATCTGCAGGGGACACTTTAGAGCTACCTTCAGTCTAACATGCATGTTTTTGGTCTGTGGGGGGAAACCGGAGTACCCGGAGAAAACCCACGCAGCACGGACAGAACATGCAAACTCCACCCAGAAAGGCCCCTGGCCAGGATTCAACCCGGCAACCTTCTCACTGAGAGGCAACAGCTCTACCAACTGAGCCACCGTGCCACAAGTTTTAATTGTCATTTTATTACAATTTAATCATCATCAGACTGCAGGTTTACTTGTGGTTCCTAGAGTTTCCAGCAGCAGAATGGGAGGCAGATCTTCCAGTTCTCAGGCTCCTCTCTTGTGGAACCAACTTCCAGTTTCTGTCCGTGAGGCTGACACATTGTCCAGTTTAAGACTGGGTTTAAGACTGGGATTAAGACGGTTTAAGACGCGGTTCGTTTATCGGATGTTCACTATATCACGTTTTTTTCAAAGTAAGATTGGACATGAGTCATGTCACATGACACAGCAGGCTGACTGATGGATGAGCCGTGGGTTGTTTATTTAAGATAAATTATTTAAACGATTTTACACCATGTGTGCAGCCCACAAGTGCAGGGGAAGCTCCCTCCTGCAGCTGATCAGCTGATCTCCTTCTCTGCCACACACACATTTCTCCTGCAGCAGCTTTGTGAAGGTTAACCCTTTGCTGTCCAGATGCACCGATCGACTTTTGTCTTCCAACTTAAAATTCAAACTGTCACTTTGTAAATATCATAATCACAAAATATAAAAGTGTTAAAAGTTATTTTTAATTATTTTAGAACTTCTATGTTCAGTTGTTTCTACGTAATTGATCAAGAAGTTAATTTGTGCTCCGTGCTGCAGAGCTGAAGCTGCGTGACATCCAGTGATGTCCTGCTGCTCTTCTCTTCTCTACAATTTAAATTTAAATACTGTAACATTTTAAATGGAGTGTTTATTTAAAATGTTACAGTATTTAAATTTAAATTGTTTTTTAAGGAGGGAGGTTGGGACTGACAGGTGACGAGTGTGATTGCAGCCTGGCACACGTCATGACAAAGTTTAATGAACTTGAACTTCGGTGTCCCTACTTCACGTTTTTCACTTATCACGGGGGCGTGGTCCCAAACACCCGCGATAAACGAGGGACTGCTGTATTTCTATCTTAACATGTGATTCTTGACCTGCCATTGTGTATCTGTTCCTACCAAACCCAGCCGGTCGAAGCAGATGGTCCTCTTGTCCTGATCCTGGTTCTGCTAAAGGTTTCTTCCTCATGAGGGAGTTTTTCTTTCCACTGTCGCCTTCATGCTTGTTCAAGATGAGAGTTCAGTGATGGAGTTAAAGTCAAAGCTGCTCCTCAGATAAATAATGTTCAATTATTATTTTATAGATGAATGTTTCTGTTCAATTATTATTTTATATGTGAATGTTTCTGTTCAGTCCCTGAGACGACTTTTCATTCAACCTTTATTTCTACAGGTAAATCCCATCGAGCCTCGAGGACTCATTTACAAGAGAGACCTGATTTAACAAAGAAAGACGACAACAGTGGACAGTTATAAAAAGGCAGACAGATTTTTTTTGTTTTGTTTTGTTCACAACTTCTGTTGTGACTTGGTGCTGTAGAAATAAACTGAATTTTTAAAATGTGTACGTCATGTTTTGTTGAAAATGGAGGGCAGAGCCAGCGCTAACGAACGCGATTTTCAACAATAACTTTGTTTTTGCTCCACTGAAACGTAAAATAATGCCGGAGTCACAGAATCGCTGGTGCCGTCCTCCCTCTTCGAAATGTACCACCCTTCCAGGACCTGCAGCTCAATAAAGCTCCACCCCCACAGCCAAACCATCTGTTCTCTGATTGGTTTGTTAAACTTATGATTGACAGGACATTGACCAATCAGCTGACAGGAAGAAGCACCCAGACAATTTGCAAGTTGAAACACGCAGTTAGGGAACGTGAGCGCCGAGTTTTAGTTTATTTTGTATTTATATCAGTAAATAAACCTGTAAAAAAGTAACTTGTTGAACTATTTTTTCCAAACACCAAACTTTTTTTAAGCACACACATTTCTCTACACGTGCTCAGAAACTCTCAGTTATTTTCTTTTACAAGGTTACAAAACTTAATTCACAACCACACATTTTGATTTACAAGCACAAAACATGTACGACTGGAATTCTGCCCAGATTTGAGCTTTAGAAGTAAATCATTGTTTCAAAAGGTGAAATGAAGTTCGGCATTAATAAAAGAAAAAACAGGAGCAGTCCAGTCAATCTGCCTGTCTCACCACATTTCCATGTTCTAATAAAGACGTCGCACAAAGTCGTTTCCCCGAGGGTCTTTTAAAACATTTTCTCAAGAAAATGAGCCTTTGTACAATCACTGCAAGCAAGATGGACAGTTTCCATTACTAGGCCCTTGTAATTAAAGGATTTGTACTAATAGCAAATTTATCATAATTCCTGTTGGCCATCAAGTCTTTGACAGGTCATTTCCTTCTATCGCTAAGTTTCATACTGAAGCCTTCAGGTTGGCGCCGTGTAATCAAACGCTCAGACCTGCGCACCAACACACAGAAACAGAAATGGATTTCATGGACCATGATGCTCATGTATGTTCTTTGATCACATGAGTCAGACACAAGCACATAGGTGCACACGCACACACACGCACACACACGCGCGCGCGCGACTCAAAGCAAACAATCTGCTGCGTTGTTCCAGCTCTCATAAAGACATGAGGCTGCCGTATGCAGGATAACGAGCACACACGGACAGAACATTCAATCAGAGCAGCATCACTGCTGCACAAAATGACAGCAAATGTTTGATACATCACACTCCGTCACATTCAGATGGTAATTCACATTAATAGCATCACACACACATAATCCTGCATGCTGAATATCATTACTGCGGTCCGTCTTTGCACAGAAATGAAGCTTCGTTTCAACAAAAGTCTCTGAATAAAATAGAGTCTGCAGCCTTTGATCATCAGCAAGACTGAAATCAAATCCTTCTGCAAACTGAAAGCTGGATTTTTTTTTTTTTTTTTTACAAGCTTTCCTGTATTACACTTGCAGAAGTTTAAAAAGTGATGGACGCTGGTGCTGCATTACAAACTGCAGCCGGCAATCAGAACCAAAAAATTATTATGATTTTATTTTTAGTCTAGTTTGGTCCAGGAGTTTTGGTAACAGAACAAACCTGGCTCCTCTCCAACATGAAGCAACGCTGACAAACTGATGTTTTCACATCACGTTTAACTGAATTTGACATTTTACTGTGGTTTGGCTGGTTGTTAGTTTATTTAAGACACTTCTAGTGCGTCTGCCCTCTCTCACCACATTAAAACCTTAAGACGCTGCAGCAGCACGAGTAAAACTAAACCTTCGCACAACAGAAGCCTGCTTTAAGAAGTGTTGCATTGTGGGATTGTTCGGGAATGTGTTCACAACATTTATGTTGTCAGCAGAGTAAATGACCCAAAAGAAACTTTAACAACAAAGAAATTGTGCGCTCATGGATGAAGAGCGCAGAAAGAAACTGAAAATTACTTTTTGTGTAAGGTGACTGGTCTTCTGACATCACTGGTGTTCATCTTGAGGATGGTGGGCTTCCTTTAAGATTCCACTTTAAATAGTCTTATTTCCCGTGTTTAACCATTTCCGTTCTAAAAGAACGTAAGCCGAGTCAGCACCCAGCAAGTTTCTGGCACCAGTCAGACACCAACAGGACCCCACCGTGACCCAAACCCCTCTGATCTAAACCCCGTCGAACCTTCAGCTTCCAGCTGGAACTGAACTAAACGATCATCGTGATGCGGAGCAGAGGTCGCCGCAGGGCGTCTCATCAGCGTCAGACACTCACATGCGATGATGTTGCCATAGCGATTCTTGTTGCGGTTCTCGTCCTTCTTGGCTGTCTCCCAAGGTGCCGCCTGTCCCTCCGCCAGGGCCTACAGAACCAAACGCACGGACACAGAGGAAACAGTCGCATGAAAACAGACACAAAGAGGCGCACAGCGCGTGCACGACAGGCTGGCACAAGTTGAAACTGGAACATGAATGTGAGCGTAGAAACGTCTGTTTAGCACAGGACAGCAGAGGATCATTGAAACGTTCTCTGGACCTAAAGGAAGGGAGATACGTGTTCCAGCCAGGTCCTCAGCAGGTTAGACCCTGGAGTTTACAGAGTCCCTTTAATGTCCTGTGTTGTCCTCCTGTGCTTTGTCCAAGTCCAACATCGTTCCATTTACAGGTAAACTCTGAATCCAACAAATGCAGTTTTTTTGTGGACCTGCAGAACTCCCAGAGCTGGACCTTGTTCAGGTAAGTGTTCAGCAGTTTTCAGACAAATCTGGGATACTCTGCAAATCAACAAAGAAACAGACAAAGCAGGAAACGCAGCTCCTTGCAGCCTCGGCAGACCTAATCTGCTTACGTTTAAGCACTGAACTGAAACCCCGCCAGCAGGTAGTGAGAACGAACGTGAACGGCACAAATCAAACTGGTTTGAAAAGACAATGTACAGAAATGAAGGCGGGGGACAAAGTCAGAGTTTATTGTTTTGTCCGCTCGCTCTGAATCGTCTGTCGCCTCTTGTTGGAGGAGAAAAGACAGATTGTCTGCAGTCCCCGCTGCGTCGTCGTCTGCGTGACGAGCCTTTCAGACACAGCGAGGACAAAATGTCTGCGTGCCACATGCACGCTTCATCACGCTCTTACCTTAAACGACTACACGCACAGAAAGACTTTCATCTGCGCAGACGCACGAGTTGATACACAGAGATGATGAGCAAATAACGTGTTCGTGTGACATGGAGGTCCTGGCAATCTTGTGTGGAGCAACTAAAGCCCAACTCTCAGAGGTTGCCATATGGACTGTGAACTATTTCAGACCCCCCCCCCCCCCCAACACACACACACTCAGGACACTCATGAATAAAACCTCCCTAAAGGGACAAGCGAACAGCGAACAGTCCTTTTTGGAGCCCATTAAGGGCTTAAGAAGACCAGACAACAGCTTTTACTTTCAGACAGTGATATGACCTACATGCACACACACACACACACACACACACACACACACACACGCACACACACGCACACACACACACAGATGCAATGAGACAGAAAAAAAGACAGTCAAACTTATCGCTCAGCCGAGCAGAAAATTGATTCGGACATATGGACGCTAAACGTCGGTGTGTGTTTGTGTATCACCGTTTTATTCAAGCTTCATATTCCTCCACTATGACACGTCCTTTTATCTCTAACGACTCTGTTTATTCTGTTTTATGTTACTCCGGCACAAAACAAGCTCTTTATGAGCTAAAGGAGCAGAAGCTAAACTAGTTATGATAAAAACCAGGATGTACCGTGGTTCACTTCTTGCAGCTTCACTGGATCGCAGGTTTGTTAACCCTGATATTTTATATTGCACTGAACATTCATCTCATGGTCATCCTCTTCATCACCATCTCAAAGTGTTTCAGAGCATACGAAGGGCTTATGAGAGAGTGAATGTCATGATTCCTACCTGTCTGTCCACCACGCCCACCTGGTGCTCGGAGCCCCCATGTTCTCTATCCGGCACCAGATTATTGAAAGCCGTGCACAAGTAAATGTCCAGCGATAATCTCCTGCTCCTCATCCTGACCAAGTTTCTGGATTTTCCCGTTTCACCTTTTGAAACTTCTCGTGCGTTTCCACACGTGTGCTCACTCCCACCAGTCTTTTCAAAATAAAGCTTATTCCAAAGGGTGCATTCCAAAAACCCTCTTTAAAAAAATACACCTGTAGATCAGGTCTTATAAACCATCATCTGCTCAGCTCTGATAAAAAGCACCTTTTAGAATTTATACCGATGTTGATTTTTACACGTCTGTCGAAATACGGACGTTCTACGGTAAAGTCTCCATCTATAAACTTTCTCTTGTCCCTCCCATAACTTCTGATCTGCTCAGGATCATTTTACAAAACTTCATACACCTACGCATCATCATTAGTGTGTTGTGTACACTTCATCACCATAGCTTCAAGGTCAAGGTCACAAATCAAGGTTAAAGGTTATCCAAGGACTTTGCTCGTCCGGGCCACTGCTAGTTTGTCATCAGGTGTCTGTAATAATGTGCCGTCCAGGGACTCTGGTTTATCAGTGTGAGGCTTTCTGTTAGACTGAACTTTGTTGGTTTTTTGTTACCTACGTTATTGAGTATGAACATTGATCTTTTTGTTAAATTGTGTTTTATCGTTAAATCACTTTAAATGTAAAATGTATCAGAATCACCTCTAAATGCTTTAAAACTTGATGCAGTGAAAGGACAACGGACACTCGTATTGTGTAGTTGTGTATAATTTGATCCAAGCTTGACTTTAATTAAGAGAAAATAAAGAACATCATCTCTTCATCAAACACGAACTCAAAATGCGCTTAGACCTTAAATAAAACTTTTTCATCAAAAGCAAATGATAGAAAACAAAAAGTTCTGCTCCGTTCTAACTGATCAAATTATCCAAACCCATGACGTTCACGGAGGTGCTGTGCACTTCGCAGGCTCGATGTTCGAGGTTCACCTTCATGCTGCTGTTGCTGCTCAGCCTGTTCAGTTGTCCAGGTCTGAGCTGGTCTGCTTTAAATGGAGGAGGTGTCTGGAGGAGGTGTCTGGAGGAGGTGTCCACCCACCGGGGAGCAAAATGTTGACAATGTGGCTGCTGTCAACGTTAGCGAGGTTAATCCGCTTCAGCACCGGAGGGCTCGTCTCACAGCGACGGAGATGACAGCACACTGGGTGTGCACGAGGAGAGACCACACACACACACACACACACCAACACACACACACCCACACCCACACACACAC